CCGACTTCTGCGGTTCCGTCGTCCTCTTCACCAGTGTCGGTACCTTTCCTCTGCCACCACTCCCCTTCATGTACCATTTCCACGGAAGTTAGGGCGGCAAGCATAGTTAATATCTGTGCATTTCAATGGAGCGTGAAGAAAATTAGCTTCCTATGCATATTTAGCTATCTTGACTTAAAAAAATTCTATTGATAGGAACATGCCACCTATTCAATTCTGGTTTATATACAAAAAACAATCCAACTTGCCCCAGCAATAGCTAGCTAACCTAATGCACCAAGGCGCTGGCTTAATATCAGTAGCAATTTGAGAAGACAAAAATGTCAATGTTGCAGCTAGCAACAAGCAAGCAACGACTTCGTATTTATATGGACCAACAATTTGTAGAGGTAGCTGCGAAAAACAGGAATGCTACTGTATCATACCAAGTCTTGGTACCCTTTCCTAATTTATCTTTTGTTGTTGTCTTCTGTTGTATATGATACCAACTTGATTAAGAGTGAAACCATATGTTAAATATTTATTTTATTATTTTTTAGAAAAAATGTATTAGTTAGGTGACTGCAATTCAAATGATGGCCGGCAGCAATATGAGCTAAATTTAGTCCATTAGCCCACAAATTTGCCCCCACCTAGGTAGGTAGCTACAGACAACTTAAATTAGTTCCCTCATAATAAAATAGATGAATATAAAGCCTCCACTATGTTATTGTTGTGGCAGCTAACAACTTTCTCTTATTAACATGAACCAACCAATGCATAGAGGAGACCACAAATCATATGAATCTAAATAAATCCATTCCAAACGAATCACATAGTAGTTAAATAAAAACAGTAGATGTGTTAAACCAAAGTTCATAAAATATAGAGAACTAATACAACCATGTTCTACATGATACAGTACAATGATAAGGATAGTAACACAACACAACAATGTTCTTGTTGATACAATAACATAATGTTTGCAATGAGCTCATCTTATTCTATTGCATAAAGGTACAAGCATACACTGCAATAGTGACACCATTGACATGTGCTAAAAGTGCAGGTAATAGGCGAACATGCAAGCTTCGTACATCACTTCAATGGCGTAGCTTTGGACAACACACGTGGAGTAGCTCTGAGTTTCAGGTCATTCCTTCTTTGTAGTGTAAGCCCAAATTTCTCGGACATGTCAAATGAAGTGAGGCTAGCCCCGTCAAGAAGCTTCCAGTCGAAGTGATACAGAATGTTTGTTAACACCATCTCCACGAGCGATGTGCCAAACTGAGTCCCGGGGCATTGCCGTCGCCCAGCCCCGAAGGGAATGAATTCGAGGTATGTTCCATTGTAATTCACTGTGTTGTTCTCAAACCTCTCTGGCTTAAACTCTGCAGGACTGCTCCAGTATTCAGGATCTTGACAAATTGCGACGACATTAATGTAAACATTGGTGCCTTTAGGTATGTCATAACCCATTACTGTACAATCCTCTCTAGCCGCGCGTGGAATCAGAGGAACGGGCGGATGCAACCTAAGGGCTTCCTTGATGACCATCTCCGTGTAGCGGAGTTTAGTGAGATCACTGTTAGTAATGACAACTCTGTCTACACCTAGCACCTCCCGTACTTCCTGTTGTGCCTTAGCCATAATTTCTGGATTTCGCACAAGCTCGGACATGGCCCACGCCAAGACGCTTCCTGTTGTTTCCGTGCCACCTGCAAATATGTCCTGCAAACGACGGTCGTGAAAAGCACGATCAAACATCAAACTATGTCCGAAGGATCTAGGCGCATATTAATGATTCAAAGATGCAACTAAACAAATGTATATATTATTTAATCATGTTGATTTTCTTTTGTGTAGAACAACATGTGCACTGCGATTTGTCCTAATTCATTCATGGTTCCACAAATACAAATAGCTACTGACTGACTTTATCAGTTGGACGATAAAAAGTTCAGTAGTAACTTGAAATCAAGAGAAATAGTACTCACCAACAAGACGGTACTTATACACTCTGTGGTTAGAGGGAATTCCAGCGAGCCGTCTTTCTGCAGCCTGAGCAGCACGTCTTGCAGGTCCTCGTCGTCGCCGTCGTTGGGGCCGACGCCGGCAGCTCGCGCGGTCTTGCGCTCCTTTATGATGTCAGAGATGATGTGCTGCATACGGCCACAGCTATTCTTCATGTCACGCTCACCATTGCTCAACCACCGCACCAACCGCGACGATGGGAAAAGGTCAACGAGACAAAAGCCGCCCATCATCACAAACACCTTGTGCATCTCCTGGATGTACTCCTCCTGCTGCGAGAACTTGCCGCCGAAAACCGCCCGCGTGACGACGTGGTTGCTGAGCGCCGTCATCTTCTCGCTTAGGTTGATGGTGGCGCCACTCGAGGCGGCGACGGCGATGTAACGGAGGAGGTTGCCCACCTCCTTGGCCCTGATGCCCTCGATGCGCTTCACCTGCCTGGAGCTGAGGAGCTCCACGATGGAGACCTTGAGCATCTGGCGCCAGCGGTCACCGTTGGGTGCTAAGGCGATCCCCTTGCCGCCGCAGCCGAAGATATCCAACGTCGCGCTCTGCGGTCGGCCCGCAAACGTGAGGTCGTTGGTCTTCATAACAAGTGTGGCGGCCTCGGCGGTGGAGACGATCACGGTGGGGACCTCGCCTAGCCTGAGAAGCATCAGCGGCCCGTGCCGGCGAGATAGCTTCATCATCGTGCGGTGGGGGAGGACGCTGGCGACGTGGTGGAGGCTGCCGATGATGGGGAGGGTCCATGGCCCAGGAGGCAATTGTTTCTTGGCAGCCGGTCTGCACTTTCCACCAGTGATCAGGTTGAGGAGCAAAATCGCTAGTAGGGTAAATAGGGCAACCAAGCACAAGCGTAGCCACCCTTCCATGGCAGGCAGCATGGCAAGCCTAGAGGTGATAATATCATCTTCTATTCTTCCTCCCCCTCCATCGACATATGTATATGCTGTTAGCCATTGACGGTCTTGAGGTTTAGGCAATCATATTCATATGTAGTCTATAATATTATCGTCATCTACTCCACCTACTAGCAGTATATTCTACTCCCTCCGTCCCATAATATAAGAGCCTTTTTGCAGATTCAAAAAGGCTCTTATATCATGGACAGAGGGAGGACATTGTAGTGAAATCTGCTTTAAAAAAAGTGTGCTATAAGAAAATTAACACCGGCCTTAAAATATACTTTTAACGCGCTATATCACGCTATAACTTGCTATTAGTGAGACATTATGCACTGATTTATTTATTGAGAGAAATTCTCAGCACGCTATACCCGTACTGTTTTTTTCGGTGGGTACACCCCCTAGCTATCATATGAATTGGCCTGCCCCGGGTCACTGGTTGTGTTGTCTGTATGTCATTATGCGGCCGAGACTGACATCAGGGAGGTATAATAAGCTCGCTTGATTGGGACGACGAGGACTTTGTGGTTGCTTTATTTATAAGCACAATTATTGGCGATAAATAGCACACATCAAACAACTGTAGAACGATAAGATTGAGCCTCTTTTCATATGCTACGTACTACTGCAGTCCAAAACATATAATTGATGTTAAAGTTGAAGGAAGCGTGGATTAATTGGTTGCCCTACGAGAGCAACTGCTGGAAAACGAAGAACAAAGAAAGGTGAAAAGTGAAACACATAGCTGTAGACAATACTATTAATAGCCTATAATATCTGGAAATACCATTTTTTAAGCTATAACAATTTCTGAGTATAAATTATAGATAACATCCATACAGTAGCAAGGCTAGTGATATTGATCCTGTCTAGACCTGTGCAGGACACAAGTAAAGTTTCTTAGTTTTGTGAAGGACTTATCATTGTTTTCTGTCCGGTGATTTACAGATTAATTATCTTAGCTTCTTCAACCGAGGGAAAACTTACTGCTTGCTACCAACCCCTTGTGCTTCAGGGACAAACTATATACCTTGTTAACTTCAATAGTACACAATTTCTCCAAAAAAAAACTTCAATAGTACACAAAATTAAAATACCAAATTATTAAAAATTCAAATTAAAGTTTGAACAGAATTTGCATTGTCTATATTATATGGATTCGTGTATATCTTAAGTGTCCTTCTATTTGATGATGAAATAGTATGGCATTGTTTCTAGGGATGGTTGTTCAACATGAAAATAATGACCCATGCATTTTACAAACTTGAGTTCAAAATTAAATAAAAATCCAAAAGAAGTATGGAAATTAATATATGTTGGCATGGATCATATTATGTATATATAATGTTGACATTAATCTCATATAATTTCTCCATTTGGCCTATCTACGTATTCATTTTCTAAATTTAAGTATTTAACCAAAAAAATTAAAATATAATAAAGTTCTAGTAATTTTAGATAAGCGAGTGAAAAAAATGGAAATTTTCAACTTATTTGACCAAACAATTTTGATATTTTGGTAGGTTTTTGTTTGGACAAACTATGAGCAAAAAAAAGCATGTATATTATTTGGTTGTAGCATTATCCATATTTAAATTGTGGAGGCTTCCTTCAAATTTTCCAGAAGTTGCAGGCTGTCCAACCGTTGTGGCGCAACTGAACTTTCAACTTCTTCCTCCCTAGTCCCCATCTTTTTTCCTTCTGTATAATGGTGATGCCGCCCGTACCAGTTTCTAGGCTTAGAAACCTACCGTACTATCCATTAATGGCGTTGATCGTGTGTCATGCCCTCCCACCTCGTCTTGCCTTCTTCATTTCCCATCAGATGGTCGCCTGCCATTCTTGTGGAGCCGCCTCTCCCACAACCATCTTCCCATTCCTACATCACGGACCCTCTCCAGCACCGCCCTAGCCTCTCCCTACTGATGGCTTGCAAGTTCACATGGCGATGTAACAATTTCATAGTATGCAAGCGTTGTTGATCCCACATGGAGCAAAAAGGAAGGCACTACAATCCCTGAAGCCGCATCGTCACATACTAAACTACGCTCACGTCCAAACCGGTGTTTCTACATAGCTCGCTAAAGTTGGTTGATAGGGAAAACGATTAATAGAGGGAATTAAACAAAGTACAATAATGAATGGAAAATAAATACTAAACTAAGCGGAGGAATAAACAACGGAGAATGAATGTGATGTCTTAGATGAGTATGTTGGCATCTAGGTACAGCCTCCTTCGTCTTCGACGCCAATTGGGGTTAAATTTGTCGACTATTAGCACATATGGGTAAGTCTGTGCCTTATATAGGGTACGACAGTTGATCGATGGTGGACGGTCCCTCACACAACATATTCATCGTACTTCCCGTTCTATACCAATGTGCGAAAAGACATTAAGGTCGTGAAAAACTGGACTGAAGGCAATAAGTTCTATGGACAACCGTGTTCCCTACAATTAATTTTGTTCCCCAAAAGATATTAATGCATGTCACCCGAAGATCTTTTAGTTTGCACAAATATCTATTCACTTCATGTGTTGCCTTTGGAGATGTCTCCAACTACACCAATGGATCAGACGTCTCTAATCAGTAAATTACCGCAAAGTTAAACAATCAACACAAAGGGAGACATGCAAAAATAGACGACGTATATCAAATAACCACTTAATAGCGGAGCGACCCGTGGAAAATAATTTCTCAAATTATATCACATATAAACGAGGGTTTAAGAGTTATTACAACCCATCACGGAGATGGGAAAGTTAGAAAAAGTGGCGGTGATGGCCCGACGGTGGCAACGGAGGCCCTTGCATGGCCTCTCCGCGATGAGGAAGACTCCTTTGGTTGCTTCCTTCCGGGCCTTCCTTCAAGGTTGGAACAATGGAGATGGGGCTTTGCGTAGCCCCCAAATGCTTCTTGATGTGGATGGCAGTTGGACGTGGAGAGGTGGATTGTGGATGGTTTGGTACGAGGATGATGGCGGGGGCTAGGGTTGGACGTGTATATATAAGAGCTCTCCTAAAGCCTCCTCCATTGATGTAGCATCCCTCCTTTGATTCAAAGGCTCTCGTTGATCTCAATCCTTTCCCAAAACATCCCTTGATGGCCAATGAAGTCGTAGGAACAAACATAGATGAAATCCGCCAAGATTCCCATCTGGAAAGGAAGCTTTCCGGCTTCTCCGTGTCTTGTCCAAGCAGTTGTATGTGTAGGTTTGGTCATACTAAACGTCGTCTTGTGTTGTGGACTCTCTGGTAGAACGGTCATCATTTCTTCATACAAACACGGAATTTAACATTCTCGGGCACGTATGAATTGCATGAAACACACCGATGCACCTGCATAATTAAATCATGATTTGGGGCACTTCTATTTCTTTTTACTTTTCTCAATATCTGAAATGCCTAAGTCTGGTGCCTGGATGTCCTCCGTTTATATCATTTTCATTGTGCTAATTTCATGGGAGTTCTACAACACCTACAAAACACACAAAGACAAAAAAAAACTAATAACTAATACTAGAGATTATGCAATGCTTGTGGTGAAAAAAGTAAATACAGGAAATCATCCATATGAACATGTAATTGGCTCAATGTGACATGATATATTGAGAAAATGGCCAAAAAATGCGCTCTACAAATGCATATACAATCTTGTCACACGGTTTTTTCATCATAGTGTTTTGGGAATTTCATCAAGGCCTAGACATAATATGAGTAGCACTTCAACCGGTAATATAAGGAAACATACCCTAGATGGGGTCTTTCCCCTTTGCCAAGCCAAATGTTGGTGGACTCCTAGTCGTACTTTGCCTAGAAGAACACCTATACATAGGGTAGTGCTCCACAATTTTGCACATCTATTCAATTGGAATATTCAGAAGAAGGATACGTGACATACCCTAGATCTTATCTCTCCCATCTACTTTTAGAGTGTGTTGCACAATAGCCTAAATAGTTTCGAATGCTCACCATGGCTTCAATGGGTGGTCGGAAGGACGTGGTCATGTGTGGGCTCTGTGGTCTATAGATTACTCAGCTCTTTCTCGTGTTGTCATACGTATATCACACATCCATTTCAAATTTATCCTTGTTTCACATTTCACCATTTTTTCCTAGCACTTATTATAGAATTTGTTTGGAGCTTACAGGCATTGCATTCAATCATCGACCAATGCATACATCTGGTAAGTGCATTATTGATATGATACAAACACTACATATGATAATACATAGAGCATCATTCATTGTTTATAGATAAAGACCATAATAATCTGCCATCATTGATACGTTTGGATTCATCAAACATCCGTTGGATGTACATATACCGAGTTCAATGTTCCTTTGACCGAATAGCCGATGGTGTATCCATCATCGTGCTTGTATAGGAAATCCATCACCCGTGCGAGATTGACTACTCTTGACAGGACCACAAATGGATGAATGTTCAGGTGCATGTAGCTCTCACAGATGTCCATCCATGCTTGCTCGACTATTTCATTAAGATTTTCATTTGCCTCCTCCACAGTGCACCGGTTTTCATTCATGCAGGTCTCGGCGGTGGATACCATATGTTGCGAAGCTTTTTCCCGCTTTAATGTGACAAACAATTTTTTATAAGATAATATATTTTATTTATAGTGTAAAACTATTGATCACATTTGCATCAGATATTATTTACCTCGTGGGACACAATGTCATTCATAACACGGGCGATGATGCAAACGGCTTTGATGGTTGTTGGGTATGCCCAAGCCCAATGTATAGTCTCACTTGATGTGATGTCTCCCATTAATATAAATGCAATGTTTGATATTTGCATACATATAGTGCTAGGCGTAGAGATTTTTAGGTGCTCCTCGAGGTTTGCTGGAACATACTTCTGGTCCCTCCATTTCACCTCAGCATGGTAGCAGTTTGCCGCATCAATAAACTACAAAAATCCACACAAAATCTCTCAGCATGTATTTTAGTTATTACA